GATTATGCTGGAGGTCATAATCTGCCAGTTTGAGACTCAGATCTGACCCTTTATTTTATTTATCTGAGATAAATGTTTTTAAAAGACACACTTATGCTAGTAGAAATCTAACACCTATTTCATGGTCTGTATCCAAAAGTCTATTCGGCAGCTTCTCTTGGAATACCAGAACACCTAGTACTTTCTTCATCAAAGTACTTATCCTACTCTGAAACACATCTCCAACTTAACATTTTACATTGAACTCTTGATTCTTTTCCTCTTACCACCAAATCCCCACTCCTCTGTTTTCCCAATTCTTAGTCTTCCTTGATTTTACTCTTTGTCTAACACCCCTATATTCAATCATTCAACAAATCTTTCTGCTCTTGTTTCAAAATGCATTTGTTCTTGCTTCAAAATGTTTCTGGACCCAACCACATCTTACCACTACCACCCCAGTCCAAGCCACCATCCTCTCTCTCTCTCTCTCTCTTTCTCTCTCTTTCTCTCTCTCAGAACACTGCCATGTCCTCCTAACTGGTCTCCCTATTTCCTCTATGGTCACCCAATAAATGATTCTCCACATAGCAGACAGATTCTTATAAAATGTAATTCTGGTCATGTCATGCCCCTGCTGTCAACCTTTCAATAAAAACCAAATGCCACTCTAGCTGGTTTTGGTCAGTGGATAGAGCATCATCCCATGGATTGAAGGGTCCCGGATGCAATTCTGGTCAAGGGCACATACCTTGGTTGCAGGCTCAATCCTTGGCCCTGGTCAGGGGATGTGCGAGAGGCAACCAATTGGTGTGTCTCTCACATCAATGTTTCTCTTTGTTCTCCTTTCCACTCTTTCGAAAAATCAATGGAAAACTATCCTTGGGTGAGGATTAACATAAATAAATTTACTTAAAAAAAACACAATCTCTGTCATGGCCAAAATGAGTTGGCCCCCATCATCCCCTCCTACCTCATCTCTACCACTCCCTTGATCGTTGTCCTCTAGCCACAATGGCCTTCTCACCAGAGTTTGAACCTACCAAGCTCAGACCCTTTCATTTCAGGTACTTGCCATTTGGTTTGCCTGAAATACTCTTCCCCAGGATGTCCCATGGCTAATTCCTGCTTCTCATTCAGATCGCTGCTCAAATGTCAACTCTTACAGAGTTCCTAACCACCTCATCTAAAATAGCCTCACTCCCCTCCATCATTCTGGATCTTCATATTCTGTTATTTTTGGTCATAGTGCCCAAATTATATATTTACTTTTTTGTCTTTCCTCCAACTACGATGAACGTAAGCTGCTATGTAGGATCAGGGATTTTGTTCCGTTCCTTGCCCTATCACCAGCAGTTAGAATAGAGCCTCTTATGTAGTAGAGAATAGCAATACAACTACTTAATATTTCTCTAGCTGAAAAGAACCTTCTGATTTTCCTTCTACCTCTCTAGAAATTGCTTTCTTTGAGGGCTTCATTTCCATTGTCTGTCCCTGAACCAGCCATTTCAACCATTTCCACGCTGCAGTCATCACACTGGACTTTCTACTGAGCTGCAAAGCCATGACCCCTTGAGTATCCCACAGGCACCTCAAGTTTGATTCCAGTCAAGGGCACAAGCTCAGGTTTCAGGCTTGATCCCCAGTAGGGGGCATGCAGGAGGCAGCTGACTGATGATTCTCATCATTGATGTTTCTATCTCATTTCCCTCTCCCTTCCTCTCTGAAATCAATAAAAATATATTTAAAAATAAGTAAAAGAATAAATTCTGTTTTTCATGTACTTACAACTGTAAATCTACTTTTGCTCCACCATGTATATTAACTTAATTCTCAAAACAACTGTATGAAATAGGTACTGTTACCCCCATTTTACAGTTGAAGAAATAGCTGCAGAGAGGTTAAGTTCTCATCCAAAGTTTCTAGCAACTGACAGAATTTGTTCCCCAGCAGATTGGTTCCAATGAGTAGAGTAACATAGGTAAATGGTAGTTATATTACAGACGATGGGATTAGATGGGACTTTTATTGGTATATATTTCAATAGGGGTTGGCTTTAAAAAAACAAAAACAACAATAAATGTTACCTTTCTGGCAGTGACAAAGAGAAAAAAATGAGAGAAAAAAATTGCTGCCTGGAGACAGAATAGAGAAAGTGATTTGTTAAGACCAGTGTGGTATCTCTCATAACATTTTGTTTTGTCAGAACTACTGGTTCATTTCTCTTTATAGAATGTTTCCAGAGCAGTCTCCAAGGATTCAAATAAAAGTATAAAGTTGGGATCTCTTAGAGTTTGATGTTTTATTGACTGCTATGCTATGTTTCAGAGACAGAAAAGAAAGTAACTCAACCACATGGATGAATCTTCATAGTGGGCTGGAGGCAGAGCCTTCACTGTTCCTGTTTCATTCAGCAGGGCCTCTAGCAGAGGGTGGGGGGAAGTTACATATCACATGAATGCTTCTTTTAAAAGTCAAAGCAATGGGTAGAGCCTATCACAGATACCTCCAACCCACTGAAAGGATGCCTGAAAATGAACCCAAACCAGCTATAAGGTGCTAAATAATTTTATGTTGCTAAGACAGTGACCAAAGATAAAGCTAGGGCAGGCCAGGGCCAGAGCCCATCCTTTTGACTTTAAGGTACGCCTGACTCCCATCTTCTCACATGCTGCCTTCCTAGTTGGACAATATTGTGACTAGTTTTTTAGAAAATAAAACTCAGTTATAACATCATCATCCAGAGATAACCAGTTTTGACATTTTGGTACAATTCCTTTTATTTTTTTAATATATTTTATTGATTTTTTACAGAGAGGAAGGGAGAGAGATAGACAGCGAGAAACATCGACCAGCTGCCTCTTGCACACCCCCTACCGGGGATATGCCCGCAACCAACGTACATGCCCTTGACCGGAATCGAACCTGGGACCTTTCAGTCCGCAGACCGACGCTCTTCCGCTGAGCCAAACCGGTTTTGGCTACAATTCCTTTTAGCCTTTTTAAAAAAGACATTTTAAAAAATACATATATATTTTATTGATTTTAGAGAAGGGAGAGGGAGAGAGAGAGAGCGAGAGAAACACCAATGATGAGAGAGAATCATTGATTGGTTGCCTCTTGCACGCCCCCTACTGGAGATCAAGCCCACAACCCAGGCATTAGGCCCTTGACTGGAATCGAACCTGGTACCTTTCAGTCCACAGGTGGATACTCTATCCACTGAGCCAAACCAGCTAGGGCTAAAAAGACATTTTTATGGCATGATACATATTTTAAATTTGGGCCTTGCATCTTTGTTTTCCACTTAACATTATATTGTAAATATTTGCATATATTGACATATGCAATATATTGACATATTCTTTGGGAAATAATAGCTAGTGGCAGAATAACTCATACCATCTTTAACTATTCAGTTAAATAGTTATTTAACTACCCTGTATAGGTAAGGTTCTCTTTACCGTATCTAGAGGCAGAACAAGTTCAAGTAAGGTTTCATTTCCGCCTTTCCCATATTAACTGCAGGAAAGACTGAGGCACCACCAGGGGTCAGTGCAGAGCCATCTAGTATGCCTTGATGTAAGAAAATTGGTTAAAGAATCCCTATTAACAAATCCTATCGAAGCACTATTCCACATAAGTAGCAAATTTTCTTCCAGAGTGGGCTTCCTTAGTTTAGAAATGATCACACTCCTCCAAGTTTATACTCAACATTTACAAAAACAGCTATTTTGTAAACTAAGGTCTATCAATACAAGATGTACTAGTATTAGACCTGTTCTTACCTGCTTGGTATGAGGTTATTTGTGCATAAAATACTTGGCCTAACTATTTTCTAGGTTTGTTGTGAATACCAAATAAATAAAATACATTATAATTTATCAAGTATCATTTAAACTTTTAAGTTGCCCTATTCTAATGATGTGCTATTCAGATATTTAGATAAGTTTTCTCCTTTTAAAAACTAAAGAATCCCAGGTAGTATAATGATAATGAAAGGAGGTATAAGAGCATATACTCTGGCATGATCATGGGTTATTTCATTGGTTTTCCTTCCCCTAGCCTTCACTCTTCAGATGCTTAAGTCATCAAAGAATTAGTAATCTGTTTTTTCTAGAAGCTGAAGTTATCATCTATAACTAATTTCGTTTTAGTTTTCCATCTTCATTTACCTGAGATTTCTTTTTTTTCTTTTTTTAAATATATTTTATTGATTTTACACAGAGAGGAATTGAGAGGGACAGAGTTAGAAACGTCAATGAGAGAGAAACATCAACCAGCTGCCTCTTGCACACCCCCTACTGGGGATATACCCGCAAGCAAAGTCCCGGAATCAAACCCGGGACCTTTCAGTCCGCAGGCCGACGCTCTATCCACTGAGCCAAACCGGTCTCGGCTACCTGAGATTTCTTTAGGAAAATTGAACTCAGACTGGCTTATAAATAGCTGAATTGCAGGGATCAAAAAGCCAGTCCAGGCCTGACATGATTGATGGGCTCCAGAACAGGTGATTGGCACTCCTGGTCTCTCTAAACCCAGAAGTGACTATTAGAAGCAAAAGGTACCGGCTCAAACAGCTTTCTAAACCAGCTTGGTATGGCCTTTTCTGAGAGTAACCTAATTTGCTGACTTGTCCACTCTAACAAATTTTAGAGCACACAGGAACCTGGGCAAAGCAGGAGTCTCTTATCATTGGCACTTGATTTCCTATTGGGCCAGAGCCTTCAGCTCCCTGGCACACAAAGAAAACAAGAATGCATGTGCAGGAGCTTGCACTGCCCTAGGACAGCTCCCCCTGAGGCCCTATGTCTTAGAGCACATGTGTCAAACACAAGGCCTGCGGGCCAAATTCGTCCCGCCAGGCCTTGCAATGTGGCCCGCACCGCGCTGTCATCACTGCACTCCGCTGTGTTTCCATCACAATGACAGTTTATGACTGTTCAGTAAACCATTCGGCCCGCGATTTAGGCTGGATTTTAGATTTTGGCCCCTTCTCTGATTGAGTTCGACACCCCTATCTTAGAGTAAGGTCTAACACAGGACACCAATTGAACAGCTAATGCTCTTAGTAAGTATAGTTCCTGGTACATAGTAGGTGTTTGATAAACATCAGTTGCATGAATGAATGACAGGTTTAGGCCATCAAACCAGCATTAGAGCACAGAGTATCTGGAGAGAGTTACATTTCTATAGTCAATTAAAAAACAAACAAACAAAAAAGACCCCAAAACAACAGTCCTGGGATTGGAGAAGTAGAACTAGGCTTATAGACTTGAAAGGTAGTCAAGAGGGTCCAAACCAGGAAAACTCATGAGCCATACAACAACAATGCAGCAACACTCTTATTTAAGAGTAAAAGGGCCCTCACAGCCCCATCCCCTGAAGGGCCAACTTCCTGAGATCACAGTCTGACCAGCTGACCAGCCCCACTCTGCATCAGGAGGGAATGGGGAGACTCATCCAGGAGCGCTCTGAGACACCAGCGGAGTTGACAAAGAGGCCCTTGAGAAGTATGCGGATTCCTGTGTCCACAAAGCTGTAGATCTTATGCCTTTGAACCTGCTAGGCTGCAGACCTACTTCAGTCTAGAGGACACTGTAGAAGCCTGTGCTCCAGAACAAGCTGCCAGTTGCCTAGGAAGGAGGTGGAGGGCGCACACAGTCTGGTTACTCAATGTTGTCATAGACCTGGATCACGTCCTCATAGTTGCCAAGAGCCTGGATGAGGTGGGCGGCCTGCTCCAGGTCAGGGTCAGCCAGCCGCACCTTTGTGTTGGGGATGAATTCTTGTGCACAGGACACAGGACACAAGCCCAGGGAGTCCAGCTTCTTCCTCACTTGATGTAGTGAAGAGGGATCACAAATAAACTAGGGACAAAGCAAAGTCAAGGGATGAGGAGCCAGGAGATAACAGGACAAAACTAGACAGAACGTCACAAGAACTTGAATAGAACTTCTATATCTCTAGGCTTAAGCTCTTCACTGGCAGAGATATCATTTTCAATTGTTTTGAATCCTCCTCACAGTCCTGGGTAGAGTAAATCCTATCTAGTAATCACGTAATAAATGTTTGTGCAATAGGTGAAACCTTTTACCTCACCTGTACCCCAGGGGCAGGAAAGAAGAAACTGAGAGAGGCATGCCTTAATGCATCTATGAGGCCCTCTTGGAAGTCCACCAAACGCTAAGGCTTCATACTTACTTTAAAAATGTTTTGTTCCTCTTCGTCTTCAGTTTCGTTAACATCCTCAGCTCCTGCTTCAATCGCCAGCTCCAGGGCACGTTCTAAGTTCACTTCTTTCTTCTCTTTGTCCTTCACTCCAATCACAATCACCCCCTTTTTGTCGAAGGAGTGGCGAGCTCCTTCAGCCATCATTCCCCTGATAAAGGAAATGGGTCAGAACAAATGCTGTTAGATGCTCAGCTTCCACACAGCACTGCATGTCTCTCTCCCACCTCACCTCTGGCGCATATACGGACATGGAGCAGCTCTCTTCCTGAAGATGCAGCCACCACTGGGCAAGGGAATAATCCAAATATATCCCCACCCTCTATTTTCTGCCATGACTTAAGTTTAGAGGATGCAAGACTTTGCTCATCAATTCCTATGCCATTTAGATTCCAGTCCTGGGGGTACATTTTAAGATGTGGACATTATAAGGCCATAGATGAGATGGGATAAAGAGCCCCTTCGACTGTTATGAACAAGTCTTTTGGATCTTGCCTAGTGAAGAACACATTAAGGGAGACTAAATGATCCCATTTAGATTCAGCTGAGGATGAAGAATGTATAAACTCTGCACCAGCACCAGAACGGACAATACTTTCCTTGCACAGAATTGGAACCTAAAGGCTCTTCTTTTTTTTTTTTTAAAATATATTTTATTGATTTTGTACAGAGAGATAGAGAGTTAGAAACATCAATGAGAGAGAGTCATCGATCAGCTGCCTCTTGCACACACCCCACTGGGGATGTGCCCTCAACTAAGGTACATGCCCTTGACCGGAATCGAACCCGGGACCTTTCAGTCCTCAAGCCGACGCTCTATCCACTGAGGCTCCTCCACTTTCCCCACACACCTACCCATTCTTGTTCAGGATATGTTTGATGTCCGAATGGCACTTGGGGCCACTGTTAGATAATGCCTCAATGAGCAGAGAAGAGCCACCTGGGCCTCGACATTCATATAACAAATAAATGTCCTTGGTTTTCTGCAAAAAACAACATAAGCATATTTTCCTGTTTCCCAATTCCCTCCCTGCATGTCAGCCCAGAACCACAGGCACCACCACCGTACAGTTGACTCCATGAATGGGCTCTTTGGGCTTAAGCCCAAGCTCTCAAGTGTTTACTTTTGTGTTTCTTCCCTCCCTGCTCTGAGAGGAGGCCCATGGGACCAACGTTTAAGGTAATTAGAAGTACTACTCCTTACCTGGAAGGGAGTCTATTTCTCTGGTCTCTGAATGACCAATTAGCCATCTCCCAGCTTTGATTCTTCTTCTCCGCAGCCGAATTTCACACCTACCCACCCTTATAACTCCAACCAAAACTCAACCTCCTTCACCATATCCTTTATGAGATCCACCTGTGCTACCCTTGGGCTGCTCCTACCCCTGGGCTGCTGAGCACCACTACACAAAGTTGCACACCTACGCCTTTTCACAAGAGCCACTGAAAATAGCATGGCCTCCAAATTTCAAACAATTGATCAAAAACTTTAATGACCAATCTCATCTCCCATGCCACTTTGCCCATGCATCTAGTCCTTGCCACTTTCTCCAAGTACCCTGCCTGCTGCCTTCCCAGGAACTCTCAACTGATAACTTCTCCCTTCCTCTTGCACAAAGAAAATAAAACACCACCAGGTGGGGAAAAATCCCGACTCTACCACCTTATCTACACCAGGCCAACATGAAAGCAATATTTGTGATAGAGCAAGGTTCTGGAGTCTGTCTGTTTTCAGTTGGTCAAGTCACCTAACCTTTCCGTGTCTCAGTTTCCACTTAAGGTTGTTCTGAGGATTTCAACATTCCATTTTCTTATCAAAGTGCTTGGCCTGCAGTAAGCGCTCAGCTATTAGCTATTAAGATGAGTATTACTTCTTCAGATCCTTCCCACTTGTTCCAGAGGAAGAGATGTCCTCTCACCTGGGCTCTATCACTATCATCTGAACTCTCCCTCTTTCTACTGGCTTTTCTCCTTTGTGCATAAATATCAGAAAACAAATCCTTCCTCAATCTAACATCAGAACTTGCCCCACACTGTGCTTACTCTTTCTACCCCATCTCCTCACAACTCAGCTGAGCAATCCTCAATCCTAGTTTCTAAGACTCTGTACATTGTCTATCCACCCTATTCTTGATTGTTCTCCCATAACCAATGGCCAAGGAGAGCCACCAAAGGGTTCTGGATTGAAGGTGTCAACCTTAAGTCATCTCTCTGATGACTTAAGGAGTGTTTGGTGGCCTTTCAGACATGGATCCTGTAGAAGCTCTAATAACAAGAATGTCAAGCTGAGGACACACCTCCATTTTCAGCGCTGTCTCAATTGTTGACTTGGGCATGTGCTTGTTGCGACACACCTCTAAGATGTGGGCCAGGCTGCTGTTGAGGTCAGGGTTGGGGCCTCCTTCTGAGATAGAAAAGAATGAGTGAAGTCATCTCATTTAATTATTTCCAGACCTATACCCCCTCATTACCCAGAAGAGTGGCAAATTACCACTTTGTTCTCGGTTAGTTTAGAATACTTTATCCAGTGTTTGTATGGAATATGTAGGAGAAATGTTTTAGAAAATTTTTAAATTCACTCTGTCTTTAGAAAAATGAAGGGCCAACGATGGGATAGGCCCTGGCCCAGCTCCCGGACAAACTAAGCAAATGAGGCTTTGGGCACGGAGAGGGCAGTAGGACCAGCCGTGAGTGTCGGTCAGGTTCTCACCTTTAACGGCTAGGCGGATGCTCAAAGCAAGCTTGGAGAAGATGCGACTCCTTTCAGTGTCCTTGGGACCCTTGATATGTCGGACTTTGGACCACTTGTTGTGCCCAGCGGGGGCTGCGGTGGTGCGGTGCAGCGTCCGACCCCGAGCGGGGCTACAGCCCGGGGGATGGGGCTGAAAGCCTGGGGAGACGCACGGAAAAGCCGCCTGGGCTCCAGGGCCTAGAACCCGCAAGCAGGGTGCAGCGGTTCGGCTCAGACTGACAATGGTCCAAGCCGCCATTGGCTCCGACCCTGGGCCAAGGTCAGCAAGAACAGAGAAAAGGAAGCGGCTAAAGCGCCAGTCCAGTCACCGCCGGAACAAGCAGGTCAGGAGCCTGCGGTCGCCTTCACCTGTCACCGGTGACTCAAAGGCTTAGGGCCGCCGGGAGCAGCCGAAACTCCACGGACCCCGCGCCGCACCCGCTGCAGCGGGAGTGGGTCATCTGGCTGGTGTAACACACTTCCTTTTTCCGGTCCGTTCTAAAAATGCGTCCCCACCGCTCTCAAAATCCGTTCCGCAGCTGCACGCCCTCCACCTCGGTTGCCCTGGGGAGCGCAGGACTTTGTTTCCCACAATGATTTAGTAGAGATACGTCTGAGTTAGTAAACTAATTTTGCTTCTGAATTGCTTGCCAACTCAGAGAAGGTCCAAAATGAAAATATTTTGTTGTTGCAAAGAAATGTATACTCCAACAAACCTCATTTTGCAGGAAAAGAAATCGCCCACCAGAGGTGTGATTTACCTAATTAATCCTTTGATCTCTCTGAACTTCCTTTCCGATATTTGTAAATAAGGATGCTACTAGTACTTGCTTTACATAAGGTTACACAAAATAAGCCCTTGCAGTTTTAAAAAAAAAGTCTTATGTAAATAGAGCGATCATCAATAAGAATCCCCCTTTGAATTTTAGGCTGTAACTCACAGTTCACTTATGCATTGTTCTTTTATTACTGTTTGTTATACAAGCTACTTGGGCTCAACACTTTCCTCCGTGTATTTTGAAGATTAGAAATACCAGATTGCTGAGTGGAAGTGGAAGAGGATGGTCCTTTATGACTAGCTTCTTTCACTTGGCTTGTTTTTGGGGTTCATACATGTAGCATGTATCAGTACTCATCCCTTTTTATTACCAAGAAATATTCCATTGTATGACTATAGCACATTTTATTTATTCATCGGTTGATGGACATTTGGGTTATTTCTACCTTTTGACTATCATGAATAATGTTTTTATGAGCACTCATGGCTCTGGTCAGTGTGACCAGAAAGGTTATCACTTTGAATCCAGGGCACGTGCCTGGATTGTGAGCTCGATCCCAAGTGGGTGGCATGCAGGAGGCAACTGGTTTCTCTCTCACATTGTTTCTCTCCCTTCCTATCTCTCTAAAATCAACAACAACAAAAAACTTATTATAAAAACTAATAAAACAAAACCTCTCCAATCTTCACAGAAAAATAAAAATTCTTGTGGCATACCAGTTGAAAATTGCTGATATAAGCAAACCCCCAAATTTTTGTGTTCAGTCTCAGATTTTTATCTGCAGCATAGCCCAGTCTGAGATGAATAGTTTAGTCTCCCAGCTTTCCCCTTTAAAACCAGAGCAAGAAACATGTATTTCCCATAAAATGCGCAGTCAGACCACATAGCACAGTTCTAACAGAGCCAGCAGATGCTCATTTTGCCACGTAAAACAAACTCTCAGAGTATATACTTCCCTTCAGTGACCCATTGCCACTCCCAGCTCCATTCTTCTGACAGAAGGGCAGGCACTTAGTAAATCTGGCTCACTGAACGAATCACAATTTTGCTTTTCTTTCTTCCCTTGAAATGGCCCAACAGGAATAAAGAATGACAATAAAAATAAGTGGGAGGAGTATTCAGCTAGGACTTCCTGCATTTAGATGCGTGTGGACAGGAACTCCCTCTCCACCCTACTGTTGGGGGAAGTGGCTTGGGCTTGGAAACTCTACTTCTCACATTAGAGCCTAGTGTCCAAACCCACAGGATTTAAGAGTTACTATTTCTTTATCCTTCAAATCGATTACTGAATCCTGATTATTCTGGCTCTTAAATATTTTCAATTGTAGCCTCTTCTCCTTTCCTGCTTCTCCTTAGTTCAGGCTCCCCCCCCCCCCCCCTTTTCTTTTTTTCTCACTTTGACTATTATATCAGGTGAATTAACTCCCTCTCACCTCTCACTCAAAGGTAATTCTTAAAAAAATATATTTTATTGATTTTTTTTTACAGAGAGGGAGATAGAGAGCCAGAAACGTCGATGAGAAACATCGACCAGCCGCCTCCTGTAGGGGATGAGCCCGCAGCCAACGTACATGCCCTTGACCGGAATCGAACCCGGGACTCTTCAGTCTGCAGACCAACACTCTACCACTGAGCCAAACCGGTTTCGGCGAGAGGTAATTTTTTTATTGCTCCCTAAAATGCAATTCTGAGCAAGGCTTCCCTCTATGTATAATTTCCAGTCTCATATAGGAGTAAGGTCTAATCTTTCTACAAAGCACAAAAGATTCTGACCTGGCTCCTGCTTACCACTTTAGCCGCATTTTCCACCAGTTCCCATATAAAACCCCACATCAACTTGTATTTCTCTGAATATGATCACACCCTTTCTTGCGTTTATAGATTGGTGCCTGAATGTTTCCTCTGCCTGAAATGCCTTTCCCTATTCCTGGAGAATCCCAACTCAGCCTTCAAAGCCCAGTTCAAGTATCTGTCTAATGAGGTTCCCCCCGACCATCTCTGGCTCCCACCCAGTCAAAGGTGATTACTAACTCCCCAGGGCTACCAGAAAGCCTGAACACACCTATTAATGCACAACACTGACAGTATTTGTTTGTGTGGCATTTCCTCTGGTGGACTGTAAGCAACCTGTGGGTCATGGTCCCTGGCACAGAGTAGGCGCTCTGTGTTTTGTTAAAGGTGATAAGTCAGACTGTCAGATAGTGATGAGCTGGGGTAGAGTCTGACCCCCCAGCCCGTGAATCTGGAACATGACCATGGTAGCAGAATGAGAAGAACTAAATTCACCACAAGAAATTATTCAGTCAACCTATATATGTTCAAGTTTTATTACAAAGTATGATGGGCAGAAAATACGGTCTTATACAGGAGGCTGAAACAGAATGAAAGGGCAAAAATTAGGTTTAATATACTCAGGAAGCAAGAAATAAAGTCATAGACATAACACTCCACTTTCAGGTGCCTTTGAAATAGCCGTCAGTGGGGATTTACCATTGTGGTTTCACAGCACAGTGTTAAAATTTTATTATAAGCCCTGTGTACAATCAGTCCTGTGAAAATAATTTCTTAAAAAGAAAAATAGTTACAGTACAGTTGTGTAAGGGGCAGCTTCCTCTCCACCTGACCATAGGAGGCCACAAAATCCATAGAATAGAGGAAAAGTTTAAATATATAATAAGAAAGTAAGTCCAGATACACTAGGCTAGATCGATTGGCTAGAGCGTAACATTTCAGAGGACAAGAAATCTCCATTTCTACAGAGAGGTTTGTACAATCATGCTACAAATTCACACTAGGGAGAGGAGGGATGGAAAGTCATAAAATACGAAGGAACCAAAGTAAATGATTCATACTTGACTCAAGCAAGTCAAAGCTTTAGCTCAACAAGTTTCATAACATACTGTACACAATCAACCCAAGGTGAGAAATTTCTTTCAAATAGCAGATATCACAAGTTCATATTCACTTACTTGTCCCAAAGGTGGGCACTTAAAAGTTTCCCAGCTGTTACACAGATTGCCAACATCTTTCTTCTTGAGTTCATACTTCCATTAGCTTATTTGTTTCTAGTTTTTAATACCAGTCCAAGCCTCTTTGGAAAGGCACCTACATGTCCTATATTTAAAAAATAACACCCAGAAAGAAGCCTGAGAGGACCAGGCCCGTACATTTGCCTTTGACCATTAGCAGCAATGACCACTGTGGGAGAAGAAAAGGGTGCAGATGGGGGAGGTGGGCAAGGCTCTGCAACATGGGACTTCCTCAGTAGCTAGTTCAGCTAGTACAGAAAAGATAATTCTTAGAGAGCCCGGCCCTAGTTCATAGTGACTACTCAGTTCAGCTTTCCTCCCAGGAAAACTCGACTGAAGTGCCAAGCATAACGCTCCTTCCTCATTCTGAAGTACAGACGGTAGAGGGGAGTCTGCTTTGAGACTTCTACTTCAATGGTCTCCCTTACCCCAAGCCAGGCAGTTGAAGGAACTGCCAAATTCTCAAACTGGGGAAGGTGGAGAGATGGTACGGGGCTGGCACTGCCATGTTTGAAAAACCCTGCAGCTTCTGTACAGCCTAGGAATTTAAGGCCCAGGCTGCAGCAGAGAAAGCTTTACAGTGGAAAGGGAGTGGGAAAAGAGGGTAAGAGGAAAGGGAAGCGTGGGGAATTCAGCATGACTGTTTACAACCTCTGCTCCTTCGGCTTTCTAACACAGTCTCAACTCATGCCACACAGCAGTCTGAATACTTCCTCACCTCAGGCCATTACTGCCCTCTAATACTTTCTCCTTTGATCTAAAGCAACACTTACTATTGATTTTCTCCCACATCCTAAATCGCCTCCTAAAATTTCAGCCACAACTACCATCAAAACCTTGCCGAAGTTTCAATTTTTTCTGTTCCCAAATCTTAACCAGTTCTCTGAGAGCCAATCCTGGTTCTGACAAGAAATTCTCACCTCATTATCAAATATCTTCCATCTTCAAGTCCTCATCTTGCAGCCCGATTCCTACCTAAAAGGAGAGGGTTAAACTCTCCAGAGGGTAAGCACTCAAGCTCTTGAAGCCCTGTGCCCATTCGCCAGCTCTGTGTGTGGAACCCGAGGCCTAATTTATTCAGCACTTCCTCCTCTCCCCTCAGAGGAGAAGAGAAAAACCAAAGGCAGCTACAGCTCAGGGGCCACCAACAAGCCAAAGGGTCACCAGAGCAAGAGCCCAGAGGGGGTGTGGCCTTTCCAGTGAAGTCCTGGTAGCTCTCTTCTCCCTCTCGAGGAGAGCAGATCTAGAGCCCCCACCGTGGTCTCTGACTGACAATTTGAGAATCTAAACAAACTAAACAGACACTTGCTCTTGAAACTACACAGGTCTCTGCTTCCTGGAACATGGCTGGCTAAGAGGCTGTCTCAGTCCTGGAACTGCAGAAATCCCCTCCTCAGACATGAGGCATTTGGCCTGTGGCACAGAGGGTGAGAACCAGGACTTCCAAACCCCAGCATCCCAGCAACTGGGAGTGTTTGCTCAGGGAGTGTGGGAGTCTCAGCTAGGCCCCAGGCTGGATGTCAGGACTGCACTGTGGCGCCTAAGGACAGTGATGGGGCTAGGAAAGAGTCCAGAGGGCAAGGGGGAAAACATCAGAAGCTATAGATTCCCAGAATAAATAGCAACTTTACCCAAGTATATTCTAATTACTATTAACCAATTATTTTTCTCCAGGTTGTTTTTGAATTCTAGTTGTACAAATCTCACTATTCAGATCAGGCTTAGGTGCAGATCAGGGAAGGAATCTTAAATCAGATCTCAGCACAGTTAAGCCCTGCCTCAGCAGGACCAGCTCTCTCTTCCATTCTCATCTCCACTTCAGACCCTTTTCCTCCTAGAGCAAACAGCCATCAATTTGAGAGAAGGGCTCTGGAGACGTCAAACATAACTACTAGCAAAGAAGGGTTCTGACCAAGAACTGCTCACTTCACATCTCCAAATGACACGCTGCAAATCTGATAAATGCAGGAGAGTAAACCTCAAGCAGCTGAGTAGCCAAAGAGCCCCCAAACCAGAATAAAAAAGTAAAAGGTAGAAAGGAAATACTCTAACAAAAGGGCCTTTTGTTTTTACTTTGGGACAGCCCCTGTGTAGTAAAGCAAAGAGCTTTGGGGATAAAAATACATCTGCTTCTGAAAAGGAAGACTCAACCAAAGGGTTCAAAGGACTCAGAAGATCAAAGCTAACTGTCTTGTTTCTCAAGAGCAGGTGAGAGCCTCAGTGGACAAAATCATCAGCCTGATGGTTTGCTGCTCTCAGGGTCTTAGAAACTTTCAGCCACTGGGCAGAGCAAGATGAACCGGGCAAACTCCCGCCCAGAATCTGAGCATGTCCCAAATTCAGCCAACTACCGGTGACATCCAAGAGCCCCCATGGAACTCATTCACATAATGGAAACAGATCCCTGCAGCCTTCAAGTTCAAATACTGCTCAAACTTAAACTGGAGCTCTTACCTGGATGACCCTGTGTTCTCAACTATTTACTTGATGGTCTGAAGTCATGATGGCCTCCCTTACAAAAGCTGACAGTCTCCCTTACTCTAACGGAGATCTTGTTCAGATGCCTCTCAAGCTGGAGTCTCTCACCTCAGAGCTCTCAATCCAAAGAGTGGCTGATATACCACCAGTCGCAATTAACCAAACAGAAATAACAAAGTTTAATTTATAAATCATTCTTGTCCATCATTCAAGACATGAAACAGAATGGCCTGGGGCTTTTATTTGGAGGGAAAAACAGACTCTGAACTATGTACTGAAAATATGCTCTAGGCTCAGCTTTCCTGAAACTATTCCCCTCAAGTTAGGTGCCTGAATCAGCCTATTTCAGCTCTAGCACGTTCCCAATAGGTCCCAGTGGGGTTGGACAGAGGTACTTTGGTGAGAAACAGAAGGCTTCACATGTGTGTTTTGGAGCCCAGAATGCACCTGAGAAGAGCCAGACTGAAAAAAAGTTTGAAAGCTGGCCAACTACAGAGCACCAAGGCGGTTTGGGACTCCCAGTCAGGTCTGTTCTGCTCAGGCAGTGATGCAAGAAGGCAGACTGCTCATGGAGTCAAGGGCCTAGTGCCAGGTTTGGGCACTGAGGGAGGAGAGGAAGGTGCTATCAGGGAGGACTCTGAAACAAAGGAAGAAACCAGAGAGTAAAATTCTTTTCATAAAAAAATTAGCCTGATAGATAAAAAATATACAAAGTTGAAATTTGTACAGACATTGATAATAGGAGGAAAGACAACTTCAAATTGGTATTTGTTCCCACTTAAGTGCTAACACGGACATGGACATAGATTGCTGCCTTGGGCAACAGTCAGAGACATCTGGGGCAGATGAATACAAACACAGCCAGTGCCTGTAATGCTCATTAACACAACGGCTGACAAACTAATATACAGAAATGTTTAATAGAGGAACTAAAGAAGAAGAAAGGAGAGAAAATCTTAAAACTCAGCCCTGGGCTGAGGAGGTGCCACACAGCCCTGAGTGCAGCACAGAGAGCAATGGGGTGACTGGCCAGGAACTCCTAGAGCAGCTTCTGGTAACAGTGGGTGCAAAGCAATGAAAGACACACTGGCCACTGGAAACATGTTTCTTCTTACTTTGGGGCGGGGCAGAGGCGGGAAACACGAAAGCCTCATGAACATGGCGCCTCCAACACTACACTCTGAGTATCTCCAGGCAGTTGTTGTAGCAGATGGCGATCCAGTCGGGCTGAGTGGATGCCCACTGCACGTTGTTGATCTCTCCCTCAGCTGTGTAGGCCAGGATAGGGTCCTCGATGGCCCGGGGCATTTGCTGAATGTCCCAGATGAGAGCCTGATGGTCATCCGCTGGTGACAGAGAATGGCAGAAGCAAGAAACAAGGTCAAAACTCAGGCAAAGAGGATAATGATCCCTACATTTGGTGGTGCTGGTAGTCAGGTTACAAAACATTTGCTCCCCAAAACCCAGTGAGAAAGATTTTAAGCCCCCATTTTATAGATGAGAAAACTGAGATTCGGAAATTTAAAGGACTTGCCCAAAACCACAAAGCAATGGAGCCAGTGAGTGGTAGAGCCAGGACTCAAAGCTAGCCTCTGGCTGTCCCAGGGCTGTGTTCACTGCATCGGAAGTAGGCGATAGAATGGGACCTGGTGGGCATCTCTCATCCTATAGCACGCACCAGGAAAGGAAGAAGGGATGAGATAAAGATGGCAAGGTTATGAGTTATGTTTACTTTTTTCTAGTTCCTAAGTGATCTGTAATGTCTATCATGTTACTTTTATAATTGAAATAGTAATTTATTAGTCTAAGAGAAGAAAAAGCAAGGCAAGGACCTTCAATATCAGAGTGTCTTCTAATCCATCAGCCTACCTAGATGTGAAAGCCTGCCTTTTTTTAAATATATATATTTTATTGATTTTAGAAAGGAAGGGAGAGGGAGAGAGAGAAAGATCAATGATGAGAGAGAATCTTTGATTGGCTGCCTCCTGCATGCCCCCTACTGGGGATTGAGCCCGCAACCCAGGTATGTGCCCTTGGCTGGAACTGAACCTGGGACCCTTCAGTCCGCAGGCCGACGCTCTATTCTTTGAGCCAAACCAGCTAGGGCAAGCCTGTCTTTTGTACACAGGGGAGCTGAATAAACTAAACCCTAATTGGCTAGGTTCATGTGGGCAAAAGGAGATGTGAAAGCTACAGGTCACACACCAATGACCAGACCAGGCTACCCAGGGCCCTTCAATGCATCAGAGCTCACTGTAGGTTCATTGTATCTCCTAAGGGAGATGTCAATCTTGGCAGTCCCAAAGACTCTGTTACGTCTACGACAGACTGTCCCTCTCCTTCACATTCATGGATCCAAGTCCTCTGTGTCAACCTAGATTTCAGGGGTGGACATATGACACAGCCTATAACTGACACATGATGAAAATAGTACATGGAAGATGCTCTGAGAGTACAAGCGCATTTGGGAATTGAACTGCTTCGTGTTCACAAGTGTAGAGAAGTTCTCAATTGAGTTACGTTGGTAAGTCTCTCAAACTATCCTTAGGAAATAGTAAGGATAACAATTCTAAGAAAACAAGAAAGATCTCCTTACCTCTCCGTCCACATCCTGCCCTCCCCCACCATGTTTACCTGCAGTGCAAATGTGGCAGGATGAATGTGGGGCCCACGCAATGCCATTGACGCATGCTCGGTGGTTGTTTAACCTTGCGACAGGCGTGCATGGAACTCGGACATCCAGAATTACTACCTGCAGAAATAACAAGGAAAAGGCTTCAGAGTGTAAGAGAAAGAGAGAGAGAAAAAAGACACTATACAAAAGAAAACAAAAATTTTTAATCATAATTTCCTCATTTGTGGATTTAAATATTATTATAATAGATACAGAGGGTCTCTGCCCCAAAAGTAGCTACTGGATTGAAGAAAAAGAAAAAAAGACACAGGTAGTTTATAGTCTATATCTAAAGTAATACAGGGTCTTTAGACTGAAATGGAAGGGGAGAAGTAGGAGTAGGTAACATGAATCTGGATAAAGCACCAAGTCCGTTAGATGTGTATGCTAAGATTCATAAATGGTTTAGGTGCAAGCTCAGTGGGACAGAGTGACAGCACCCTCTGCCTCCAAAGCAGAATTCAGAATGTAAGGATTCTGAGGTGCTGGCTTCACCAAAACAAAGTTAGTAACTGCACTGTCTCTACCCACAATTTACTGCTTGTGTCAAGTAAGAGGCTACAGAGAGTTGCCGTTTCCATGTGTGTTTGCTAAAGCTGGAAGAGTCTGTCCTGACTACAGAGGGGGAAACTGCTTCTTACTTAGCCTCGTAAGCAAGTATGATTTGGTTTACTTTTTAGATAATGCTTTTCTTGACACTAACCACAACTCTTCAAGTATCAAAAGTTTTTAACACATTGTGCTTATCCTGGATCGGGTTTTCTTAATCTCAGCACTCCTGACATTCTGGGTCAGAAAACTCTGTCCTGTGCATTGTAGGAGGTTTAGCAGCATCCCTGGCCTCTACCTACTAATAGATGCCGGTAATACACACCTCTTCCCCTCATCCCCCCTCCCCCTCCTGAGCTGGGTTAATCAAACTATCTCCAGACGTTTTCAAAAATCCACTGGGAGAAAACTGCCACCAGTTGAGAACCACTGTCCTAGATATACTAAGTAGTGCCACAGTGAGGTTGCAAGGCCATGTTAGCCTGAAACAGGGTGCTCACCTCCATTCCATCCATGGCCATCGTGGCCAGGTAGTTAGGGTCCTGCTTGTTCCAGCAGAGGCGAAGCAGTGGGTGATGCTGTGGGTCTTCATAAATGATGGTGCTGTGTTCTAGATGGCGGAGGTCAAACATCCGCACTGAGCCGTCAGCACCCACAGAGGCAAACATGTCTCTACCACCACCAGCCCGGCTAAATGCAATATCATAGACCTGTTGGTGAATAAAACACTTTAGCCAGATTCCGATCCATTACCTCCTTTTCCATAGCAGGAAATCTGCCATCCCTGGGTCATCTAAACCCGTTTATAACACAGGAGGAGAGAAATAAAACCAAACAATGTCTGCAAAGTCTGGAACCTGAGACCTCTAACATCAGTGACTTTCCAAAGAGTGAAGCTCATTCTGCTATAGAAATTGGCTGGCTTCTTCCCACAGTCCTGCTTTCCAAGTCTTCTTCCTCCAACCCCTATGATAAACAAAGAGCACATACCCTGCTGACCAACAGAGCACACGGAGTTCTGAGCAAATATTCCATATGCTTAGACAGGCTGTGGTCTTCTATAATGATACAAGAGTGAGACACGGATTTCCTGAACCCTGATGGCTTCCATTTGTGTGGGGTCAGAGGCAGATCCATGGCCACAATGAGGCCAAGATCACAGTTTAGAGAGGTAGGAGTAGCTCTCCTGTGGCCGCTCAGCCAAGCTGGTTCTGCTGTGAAACCTGGCCCTGAGGCTCATTCCCAAGAGAGAAGTAAAGCAGATTTATACCACGGGAGGCATTTCTACACTGGCAGAGAGACTTAAACCATGGGAGGCATTCCGATATTTGCAAGACATGCTGTTTCTTCTCCTAGTTGGTCTGCATTCATAAATGGTTTAGGTTTTGAACCACTGTTTCCTGCATTTATTACTTGCTGCAAACGCTGCACACCACTACTGTCTATGAGAAAACAGAGGCAGAGAGCAACAGAGAACTTCAGAGAGAGAAAAAGGACAGAGAGAGACAAAGCCAGAGCCAGACAAGCAGAGAGAAGAGACAAACTGAAAAAGAAAAACAAATGAAAGGAAAAGCAAAACCCATCTCTGGGGTCAAGATTAACAACAGCTGACTTCTGGAGAGACATGACTGACTCTCACTAAGTACCATGGCTCCACCTTCTCGAGGTTCTGCCTGTCAAGGGACACTGCAACACGAGCATCTAGTTCTATTCAACCCCAAATTCCTTCCTCTCTGACTATGAAGAGATCACACTTCTCTTTCTACAGTAGCAATGATTCAGAAGGAACCGGACAGTCACCACAAGGAGGCCCTGCAGCTCAAGGCTCTGTCCTGCCTGAGGGTAGGGGCATGTTTATCAACGTGAGCACCCCAGGGGGCCGGCTCTCAGGAACCAAGAACAGGGACTCCACAGCAGCATCACTAAGCAACAAGGCGGTGTGGGCAACGTGACGAGTGTGTAAAGCTCGCTCAGCTTTAACTGACTGCTTCTTCATCGGGCTCCACCAGTACATTTCATTTTAAACCAAGGGGAGATGACAACCCACATATATGCTACCCTCCTCTACACGAACCTACCAGGCAGCAACAGGAGCCCCCAATCAAGACTTTACTTTGATAGTGAGAGGTGGGCTGAGAAAAGCCATAGGTGCAAGGAGGTATCACTGTTTCTCTCACAGCAACTATACTCAGATATTCAGGTTCATTTCTTCAAGGCCAGGGCCTGTTTGCTGGTCCTGGCCTTCCCCTCTGGCTGGGAGAGGCTAAGGGATTTCTCCTCCCCTCTCCCTGTTCCCTGAAGCATCTCTGGCAATGATGTGTCCCCTCCATGGCTTTAGCTTTTGCCAGGTAAACTCAGCCCCTGAACTCCAGTAACCCTACCTGTTCCCTTGGCCCTTCTGGCTTGAGGGCAGTGCCACTCCCTGCTGCTCCTATTCTCTACATCAGCGGTCGCCAACCGGTGGTCCGTGGGCCACTGGTGGTCCGTGAGATCCGAAAGGTTGGCAACCGCTGCTCTAGATTGCCTCACTGCTCCTATTCTCTAGATTGCCATATCTGTGTAAGCAATCCCCTGGGTTAAATCCCCTCTGTTTGCATACAGAGTAGCTCTGGATTTCTGAAATGGACCCTGACAGAGAACAGCAGATACATTGTCACTGAACTAAAACATAGTGACCTGTTCCACTTGATGTCAGCTGGGTTTCCAGAAGTCCCTTACTGGTCCTCTCTGCAGGACAAACCCCTCCTCTGTCCCTTGGCTCAGCAGCAGCCCAGGCCAGCAGTCTTGTAACAGATCTTACCCTTATGAGCACAGAAAGCCAAACAACAGCCCCTTACTAAGAATGATAACCTGGTCACCAACCTCCCATTCTGTGGCTAACCTCAAGTTTCCGACCTAAAGTCAAGTCATCCTTTTTATCTGTACAGATATTAATATCTCTTGCTATGCAGGGAAAGGTAGAAGAGAAAAGGAAACACTGCCGCAGGAAATCAGAGAACTAGGTGCATGCAGCAGCTCTGGGAGGAAGATTTAGGACCATTTTCCAAAATCACTCATGACAATGCTTTGATTAAAATGCGGCCACAAAGAGCTCCCTGTGGCTTTTGCAATAAACAAAGGAGAAACATAACCATCAAGATAAACCATATTCAATTCCAAATAGTTTTAAGAATTAAGTGAACATACTAGAATTTCATGAAACAAGTTTAGAGAAAAATTGATTAACTAGGTTTCACAGCCATGAAATTTCTCTCTTCCTGCCTCTCCCTCCTAGAAGCAAATATATTTCAAGATAAGTGTTACTCTAAGATTCATTTAAAAAATATATATATATTTTATTGATTTTGTACAGAGAGGAAAGGAGATAGAGAGTTAGAAACATCGATGAGAGAGAGTCATCGATCAGCTGCCTCTTGCACACCCCCTACTGGGGATATGCCCGCAACCAAAGTACATGCCCTTGACCGGAATCGAACCCGGGAGGGACCCTTCAGTCCCCAAGCCGACGCTCTATCCACTAAGCCAAACCGGTCTCGGCCCTAAGATTCATTGTTAATCACATCAGGTCCAAATTTGTCTGTAAGAGAGTTCATTGTTAAAAAAACAGCATTCTTTGGCATGAAAAGAAAAATTACGACAGGACAAGTTGTTGATATCAGTCAGAAAAAACACATTCCTTTACAATAGTGTTGTTTCTACTCTTGACACGTTACTATTTTCAATTCAGACACAATGTCAGCATTATGATTTTCCACATCATTTGCAAAACAGTGAGGAGACAAGACAATGTGACCCCACTGACGGCACAGAAAGCAGAGAGGAACAGCATCCTTACCTCTTTATCATGGGCAATCAGCTGGGTCTTCACATGGCCAGACACAAGATTCACTCGCCCCAACACCTGCCCTGTCTCCAGCCCCCAGATGGTACAGGTTGTGTCAATGCTGGAGGTTCCTGGAAACAATCAGTGCATGTCAGTAGCTGACAGGAGTGAGGTTCCCAGGCAAGCTGCTCTCCTTGTGCCTACTCACCAGTTCAGCACAGGAGACCACGTGCCACAAACACTTCCTAGCACAGGGAGGGTACCAGCAGAGTCAAGTGTTCAATCCCTATCATAGGACCTTAGTCCCTGACTGGAGACAAACATACACCCATGGGAAGCTTGATTCCATGAGGAATGAACCACATTCCCTATCTAGTCTCTTTCTCCGTTGGCCCCATTCTAGGCTGATGCCTGTACCTCAAGCCCCTGGTTAAATCTGAGAAAACATACCTTTGCTTCTTCAAACTGTAATCTACACCCCCTCACCTAAAAGATAAGGATCCACTTCATTCCAGTCAAAGGAGGTCAGAGGAGCACAGAAATCTGAGTTTTTGTTATTATTTAGCAAACATTCCAGTCTGGTCTCCGTCTCACCAACCTAAAAGAACAACGAAAAAAGAAAAAATCAGCCAGTCATTTTCCCAAAAAACGTTTTAGCCCCCTTTAGACAATATCATAGTAAATATAAGACATGGTGGGGGGGATATTTTTACCATAAAGAATAATAAAACTCAGAGGAATTCCCTGACTGTTGCTTCTCTACAAGCTTTTCCCCCTGCCTAGCTTGTTTTCCAAATTCTTCTAGAGGAGAGATCTTCTCACCTGGCCTGGCTGGGCACTTACACCTCCAGGCCAGGAGACGCCAGTGCTGATGAGCTCAGCTGAGAGGGGAGGTGAACTCACCAACTCCATAATCCACACGCATACTTGACTAGAATCGGTGGCCCGGTAGTCTGTTCAATTTACTCAAAAGTATCTTGATTGTAAACAGAATAAGAGGCCTCAAGTATCTTCACCCTCCCAGAAAGTTCTATCAGGTTAGCTGAGCCTTGATTTCCAGGGCTGGCTGTGGCCAGCAACAGGGACTTCCAGGAATCCTGGCTAGGTCTACTAGGAAATCTGCTGAGTCAAACAAGGTCATTTCAGATCCGCTAGCATTTGTTTCTCCCCCGTGGCAATGACACCGGCTGCCTCCAAGCCCAGCCTGTTCTGTGACTCCATGCTGCTGCTAACAGCGGAAACAGCACCTGCTTACCCTCCACACACGGAGATAGTCACCACTTGTTGCCAGTAGGTCCGGATACACGCCTTTTGTGTCCGGGATCCACATGAGCTTTGTGGTGGGGTATGGATGGTCAAAGGTGTTTCGGCAAATAAACTCCGAACTTTCTTCATCTAAACCAACAAGCTGAACCTGTTAACACAACAAAATTGAACCGTGTCAGAGACGTCAGATTCCTGGGAGTCAAGAACTATTACCGAGAGGACATCTAGTCCAACCACCCCATTTCTCAGGCCCAGACTCGAAGGGTTGGGTTACAGTCAACACTGCAAAGCTAGTAAGAGGCAGAGACAAAACTTGAAGACAGGTTTTCAGACTCCAAATCCTACACTCAAAAAAAAAAAAAAAAAAAAAAAAAAAAAAAAAAATATATATATATATATATATATATATATATATATATATATAATTTTTTTCAGAAAGGAAGGGAGATAGAAACATCAATGATGAGAGAGAATGATTTATCAGCTATCACCTGCGCGTTCCCTCCTGGGGATCAAGCCTGCAACCCAGGCATATGCCCTGACCGAGAATCAAACCGTGACCTCCTGGTTCATAGGCTGATGCTCAACTACTGAGCAATACTGGCCAGGCCAAATCCTGCACTTTTGACCCACAGAACTGCATTACCTGCCCAGCAGGTTACACCTTCCCCCACAACCCTGAAGCATCTGATAATGTGTGGTTCAGTTACTCGTCTTGAAGTGCCGTGTGAATTTAGACCCTGTGCAGTCCCAGTTCCATACAACAAAGTGCATCTCATGTACAAACTGGCCTTTCCCCCACATTGGCCAGTAACAAATTTACACATAAAGGTGTGAAAAACAAGCAATCAAGAATCCAAACCATCTACTGGCAAAAACAAACAAACAAACAAACAAACAAACCACTGAGAGGAAGTTCCCTGGTTCTGGTCACTTTTTCTTTGATTTAAGTTTGGGCCAATACTGATTTCCATTCTTTGCTGTCAAACTTAATCAGGCTCAGTGGAAAATGCCATGTGTATTTGCTTATGAATTTCCAGCAACTGGAAGATGGAATGGAAAATTTTTGCTAATGATCCATAATGAGAGGATAAGCACTGACCATACAACAGAAAACAGAACTCCTGTTACTCTTACTTCAGTCTTAGATACAAGTTATCTATCTACTTTTTAAAAAAATTTTATTTAGGTACAGTTGCATACAATAAAATTTCACTAACTTTAAGTGTTCAATTCAATAATTTGGAATATATATATTTGCAAATGTACACAATTGTATAAGCTTTAGCATCCCCCATAATAATTAAGATATAGAATACTTGCATCACCCCAAAACAGTTCTCTGGGACTCTTCTGCAGTCAATCCTCTAGCCCTAGTCCTAAGCAACCCCTGGCCTATATATAGGTTTGCCTTTTCTGTAATACTGTACAAATGGAATTATGGTATTGAGACTGTGACTTTCACCATGCAGCCCTTGAGATTCATCCATGTTGTGTGTTTCAGTAGTGTTTTCTTTTTGTTGTTGTTAATCCTTACCTAAGGATATTTCCCCCCACACACACACTGAATTTTAGAGAGTGGAGGGAAGAGGGAGAGTCAGAAACATCCATATGAGACACACCAATGGGTTGCCTCCTGCATATGCCCTGACCAGGGCCAGGGATTGAGTTGCAACCACAGTACATGACCTTAACTGGAACTGAACCCAGCACCCTCAGTCCCAGGGCTGACACTCTACCCACTGAACCAAACTGGCGAGGGCAGTAGTGTTTTCTTTTTATTGCTGAATAATATTGCACTATATGGAAACACTATATCCAGTTGATGAACTTTCGGATTATTTCTAATTTGAGGCCATTAATGTAAACTGATATAAACATTTATGTATGAGGTTGTTTTCTGAGGGAGCAAATTTTCATTTTTTTCTTGGGTAGACAATCAAGAGTAAAATTGCTGGTTTATGTAAGTGTATGTTTAACTTTATTAAAAAAAAAAAACTTTGTCTACAACACCCAACCAACTAAGCCACACTGGCAACGTGTTTTCTAAGTGGCTTTGTCATTTTGCATTCCCACTAGTATCCATTAGAGTTCCATATGCTCCACACACTTGTCCGCACTTGGTATTGCCAACTTTTCTTTTTAATTCTAACAGGTGTGTATTAGCAACAAACAATACTGAGCATCTTTGCATGTGTTTATCTGCCACCTGTATTTATTCTCTGGTGAAATCTGTTAAATTTTTTAGATTCACAAAAAAATTGGGCAGGAAGTACTGAGTTCCCCACACATGCACAGCCTTCTCCACTATCAACTTAGTAAGTAGTATGTTTGTTACAACTGACAAGCCTACAATAATACATCGTTATCACTCAAAGTCCAGAGTTTAGTAGGTGTATCAGTTAACAATGCTGATTTTTTTTCAATAGACCTGGTTCCACATATGTTATGTTTGCGCTCTGATATGTATGCTATTTTGTTGTATTGACAACAAGCTTTAAAACTTCCTATGTCAAATTTTCTGATGGTGTTAACATCATAGATATTTTTACACTTAAAAATGTCGAATTTCGTGCCAAAAAAAGAGCTAACGATGGACATTACTTTGAATAAAGCATTTCTGATGTTTCTCTTGAAATTATTGTGTTTTCTTTGATCACAAAATCCGCATTATTAACCGGTATACCCAGTACATTAGAGTTCAGTATTTGTGTTGTACATTCTATAGATTTTGACAAATATATGATTTGTCATATATATATAAAGGTACTGTGAGGTTGAGTACCTTTTCTTATTTATTAACCAGTTGCATCTCCTCTCCTTGGAGCTGGCTATTTATACTTTGTCCATTTTTTAAAAATCATATTAAGTAAATTAGTTCCTACTGTCTGCCATGTTTTAGAAATATTTCCCCCGGCCTATCATCTGTCATTTAAAAAAAAACATTTTATTGATTTTTTTTTTTACAGAGAGGAAGGGAGAGGGATAGAGAGCCAGAAACACCAATGGGAGAGAAACATCAATCAGTTGCCTCCTGCACACTTCTCACTGGGGATGTGCCCGCAACCAAGGTACAGGCCCTTGGCCGGAATCGAACCTGGACCCTTCAGTCCCCAGGCCAATGCTCTAGCCACTGAGCCAAACCAGTTAGGACTATCATCGGTATTTTGACAACGTATTTTTTTTTTCCTATAGAAATGTTTTATTTATGTACTATAATCTGTTAAGCCTTTCCTTAGTTGACTCTGGATTTAATGAGTGACTTACAGACTGTTTTCTCCTCTGCTCATTCCCACTGCCCCAGTACAGATTTCTTAGCCAATTTTCTCCTACTGTTTGTGAAACTTTATTTACATAGATATTTTGACCTGGAATTTGGTTTTCATGTATGACATGAATTAGAGGGTTTTAAATTTTCCTGCCAGATGGACAGCCAATTATGTCATATAATTCATTAACCCCCCACCCACCCACCCAGGGAATTAAGGTACTATCTTATCAAATACTACATTTCTACATATATTTAGATCTGCTTTGTAACATTCTATGTGGTTCCACCAACTTCTCTGGCTATATCAATTCCAGTATGCTTATTCTAATCTGATAGAGCAAGTGTTCCCCAAAGTTTTTCAACACCATTTTCCCATAATTTTTTCCCCTCTCTTTACAACAGCATATATTTAAAACTTTGGAGACAGTATTCCAGTTCTGGCTCTGCTTTTATCTTCAGTATCACTTTGGGTAAATCAGTTAACATATCTGGGCTTTCTCATCTTCCCATAAGTATTGACATGTAGTATTTTTTCCAATCTGTTGATTTATCTTATTAAAATTTAAAAATATATATGGTCAATTTTTATAAACTGAGTTATCTTTTAAAAAGTGCATTTCCGCCAAAACCAGTTTGACTCAGTGGATAGAGAATCAGCTTGTGGACTGAAAGGTCCCATGTTCAATTCCAGTCAAGGGCATGTACCTTGGCTGCAGGCACATCCACAGTAGGGGGTATGCAAGAGGCAGCTGATCGATGTTTCTATCTCATCGATGTTTCTAGCTTTCTATCCTTCTCTCTTCCTCTCTGTAAAAACTCAATAAAATATATTTTTTTAAAGTGCATTTCCCCCATATAAATCTTACTTATTAAGTGTATTTTCAGAGAACAATCTATAATAGTTGTGGACTTGCACATATTGCTCTATTATCTTCTGTCAAATGAGGCTAGCCTAATTTCATTGTCCCCTCTTCAAGAGGACTCGACTGTTTTGCCTGGATGTCCAAAACATTCTTTATTCATCCTTAAAATGTAGAAACTTCCCTAAGAAATGTTTTTTTTAAAATATATATTTTATTGATTTTTCACAGAGAGGAAGAGAGAGGGATAGAGAGTTAGAAACATCGATGAGAGAGAATCATCGATCAGCTGCCTCCTGCACTGGGGATGCGCCTGCAACCAAGGTACATGCCCTTGACCGGAATCGAACCCGGGACCTTTCAGTCCCCAGGCCGACGCTCTATCCACTGAGCCAAACCGGTCCCGGCTAAGAAATGTTTTGTTGCCAATTGTTCTGTGTCAATTTTTCTTGAGGTATAGTTTGAACCCATTACTTCAAACCTGTATTTCTATAGTTTTCTTTAACTGCATATCTGAGTTTTTGTGTCTCGGTTCTTTGGACTTCTTCAGGAGTACCAATTATATCTAAGTTAGATCTTTTTTTTCTGCATCTATTATGTTCTTTCTAATTATTTATTTCCATTTTCTCAATCTGTCTTCTCTAACCTTCACTCTGTTTTTAGCAGTTGATATTTTTATTCTTTTAATCCCCTGGTAATTTTTGTTTTCTCTTCCACTATTTCCCTGGGCTGCACCTGTTGATGTTTTATTTTCTCCTGTTACTATGCCTCATTTTACCTGATCATCCGTATCTCTGCTTGGAGTTTTTTACTTTCTTAAGTTCTTTGACTTTATGGTGGCAGGACTGGCCACTAATTTTCAACTGAGGTAAAAAAACAAAACAAAAAAAACCCCCACAAAAAACATTTTTCTAGTGTGGGTACTTTACCTGCCACTGGTTTCCCATCCCCCCCCCCCTTTTCTTATAATATCTTTCTATAATTACTGTGCCAGTTCCTTTTGTAAGTTCTTCCTAGATGATGTAAAGAAGGTTCCTGTGGGAGAGAGGTATAGTCATGCCCCAAGTTTGTAGAAATACATGAAGCTTTTGCATCTTGCCAGCCAACAGAGATGAGCTGCCACGCTGCTCACAATTAGTCTCTCATCCAACCTGCCTCATTTAATACTTCCAGAGAAGACAGCACAACTATGTGTCTTCTTGTAAAGCTTAGCTCCTCTCTTGCCCAAAGTGTCAAATGGGGTCTGAAGAAGCTCCCGCTGCCAGCCTGTGCACCCTCTTTTCACTCTCCCAAACAAAGGATTGATTTTGCCCATCAAAATCCTATTCTGGAGAACTGTTCTCTTTTGAGTTTAAAACTGAAGCCATAGATACCCGTTCTCAGCATATTCCCCAGCCCATTTGATGTTCATCATACTGCCATCCTTCCTCATCCTTGCAGAAGATAAGGAAAAACTACTTGACTTTAATCATCTTATTATCAACATTTAGGTTATCCCTCTACCTTTTCCTCCCTAGTCTTCCCCATCCTCCTGCTAAACTTCTTTTATTTCCCATCTCCACTCTCTTTCTGTAACTGCTGCTTCACAACACTTTACACCAACACGTGAGACAAGTGCCCCTAAAAGAAAAGGCTGTGAAGCAAGATTATTTTTACACTGTGGTTTCCTATATCAAATTTTTACACTGTGGTTTCCTATGTCAAATGTCTCCTAAGGAGCAGATATGCAAAATGAAATATTTACTCCTTAAGGCATGACCACATCTTCACTTTTACATTTATTACTTACATAATAACAACATAAATTTATTCACATTATGCATACCTTATATTTTTCAAAAATTAAAAGATGTCCGATCTATCTTGTTAATAATATGAGCTTCCTCAGGGAGAAAATGGTGTATTCCATCTATTACAGAGTGCTAGTACTAGAACATGAAGGTTCATATATATTATGTATGTGATTAAAAAAAAAAAAAAAAAAAAAAAAAGCCCCAAGTCTTGCCAGGGACTGATGGAACACTGCAAAACTCTCAAAAGCATAAATATCAATCAAAAATACCTACATGCACTAAAACACACTGTCTTTATTGCTGCCAATCTCATATCTGTTAATGAAGACTGCACAGTTACCAAGCATCATCCCTAGGCCTAAAACATATACAATATGCGTGTGTTCAATACATAGCTGTTGAATTAATGAGCAAAAGACTAAGGATAGAGAGACATCTTTTCTTGCTCTCTCTCAAATCAGTAAAAATATATCCTTAGTGAGGAAAAAAACAAATATAAATCCTGATAATGGAACTTTTCATTCCAGGTGTGACTGACACTATCCTGTTCTTTACTCTGCAATGATTCCCAAATTTATTCTTATGTTGGAACATCGGAAAGTCAAGTTGTTCTTAGACAGTTGCTAAAAGAAGGGACAAACTTTACGGTAAATTCCTGCAAATTACTCCACTGACTCCACCAGCAAGACTGTGGCTCAGTTTGTCTTTCTTAAAAATGTAACTTCTACCACTTACTCAAGTTAACTCTGGAAGAACTTGCAAGGAAAAAAAACACATCTATTTGTATGAAGACTCAAACCCTTTAAAGAACATTATTTTACTCTTTTTTTTTTTTTTTTTAAACAGGTATTCTTAAACAATAGTTCTAGTGTTCCTAATTTCACTAACACGGTCTCAGCATCAGGACCATGAATTCCATTCCCAGCTCTGCTGCCCACTATGGCCACAATAAGGAAGAAAGAGGAATCAGAGAAAAGAATGGTATGTCTTGCTCAGGACTTTCTGGCTCCGTGGGTAATGGGCTGACTTCAAGATCAGTGTGCACTCCATGGTGTACTTCAGGGCAAGGGGAGTCCATCGCTTTTATCAGTTTCTCAAAGGGGATTCCAAAGAAGTGAAAACGTAACACTAGAGAAACAGCTGTGCTCCTGAAGAACTGTAAACAAATTTACAATGTTCAAAATGTTTTTGACAGGACCTGCACCTTCCCTACAAGCTGTGGGTCAGAAACAGTAAGACTGACATGTGCAATTCCCCACAGCTAGTCAATGGGTCAGACAGGACCCAATCCTCAAGGCCTGGCTTTTCCCCCTTGCACCAGCCTATAGAGCAGGCATGCTTTAAACACACTAGCCAAGGCTTTCAATTGCTCTGATCCTAGTCATCACAACATTTACTCGAATATGATAAAAGAAAGAAATGAAGCGGTAAAGGAAAGAAATTCTTCCCACTGACTCACTCAACAACTTTCAAAAATAAATTTATGCTGCACTGCCAGCTTAAAAGCTTCTAACCCTTATTCTATGAAGGCTTCTCAAATTGACGGATGCTTGCCATTCAAGGTTACAAATCTGTATTAGTATGACGAAGCCAAGCAAAGATATGGCAAGTGCCATCCTCTATTCAGACAATAGTGGGATCAAGGCTATGGGCCAAGATTTCCAAAAAGAGACCGTTTTTTAAAGGACAGATTATAAGGCAGCAATGGCAATCCTGGCAGAGGGGCCTGGGTAACCATTAATAATAGTACCTGGGGCTGGGAGTGGGAGGAGGGGCAGTCTGAGCAATGAACAGCCCTGATAGAAATCCAGTGTGGCCAGGAGTGAATGACCACCAACTGAAGCGCGAGCATCATCCTTCACAAGTTATCACTCCTCCTTTCCCCCTCCGCCCCACAACGGGAGCAATGAGGCATCAGAGGAGGGAGACAGGAGTGGTAATAGCGTAGCATTAGGGTGTAAATTCGAGTTTGCGATCTGTTTCTGCCACAATAGCTGTCTGACTCCGGCAAGTCACAACACTGTGCCTCAGTTTCCCCATCAGTAAAATGGGGGTCAGAGGTCACTACACTCCTGACTATCCAGGAATGCTGCCAGGATTAAATGAAACAAGTGCGAAACCCTCTGCTCAGGACCAGACTCAGAACAACCGCTCCGTGGGTGCCAAAGGCAATTCCGTAGGAGGGTCCTGGGGTCTGGGGTCTGGGGTCTGGGCTCCGGCCCGGAAAGGGCGCTCCCCGTCAGCTGGGCTCCGAGCCCCTGCCCGGCCCACCTTGTTGTTGTACTCCTCCACGAAACTGCCCAGCGCCAGGCGAAATCGCTTGTCAGGACGCACGCTCCAGTTCATGGCGTAGACGGTCCAGGGCGCCTCATACTTATAGATCTCCTTCCGTTTGCCGTGCAGGGACATGGCTGCGGCGGGGGCCGCAGTGCGGGCCGGGTCGGCAGCGGGATGCGGCGGGGGGGCGCGCGTCAGGCGGAGAGCCGGGCCTGGGACCTCAGGGTCCGAAGAGAGGCGGGGCCGGGGCGAGCAGGGACGGCCTAGCCCGGAAGCGGGGCTTCAGCGACAGACGACAGACAACGACAGCCGCCGGATCCCACCCCCCAGTTTCAAACCAGCTTCTGGCTCAGACGACAATCACCTTCCGTTTGAGACGTTGCCCCGCCCCCCAGGAACGGAAGCCACGCGTTCCCCGCAGTGACGCCGGGCGTTGGCTGCCTGACACGTCACTTAAGACGGATCCTTCTCTTCATTGGCTATTGTACCTTTAGCTTTTGGAACCCCCTCGCTATTGGCGCAAATGGTTGTCACTCCAACGACTCGTCCCACTTAATCCCAGGGGGGCGGGCTCTTTCTCAGTCCCAAAGGTCATTGGCTGACAAAGATGTCAGTCAGGGAGATAACAGCGCAGTGCGGCTGAATGGGGGCGTGGGTGGCATAGAGGCGAGCGTGTGGCTCCCCAGGCTTCCAAGTTCTAGGCCAACGAAACCTCTAGGGTGACCTCCTTTGACTTCCACTCCGCAGCTGCTATTCTGAGCGGCTTCTCTACTCTGTCGAGTGGAAATTAAAATGCTGCCGTGGGCAAGGGCCTGCTGCGCTTCGCGGCCCTGAGACCCGCGGCCTGGCTGTCAGTCCGGCGAGCCAAACGGGAACCGCTTTCCCTCCTCTCTCTCGCTTACGCCCCCTTTGAACCGGGAGGGGAGCGGACAGGCGGTGTGCAGACCGACCCGCCGGTGTTCTCTGGGCCAGGCCACAGTCAGCCAGGCCTTCCCGAGCTTTCCTGTCCGTCTACAAATGCTGGGAATTCTGGGGTTGGTTTTCATAACGCAGCTTTCCCACCAGCGTGGCTCTAAGTTCTTACAGATCCCTTGCCATCCCTTTTCCGCCTCAGATCCCCAAGGAAAAGCTAATCAAGCGCTACATTTATGTGTCCCGAGTTTGAAATGGAGAAGGGTCCAGATCTTTATAATTTAAATGGTTTCCGATTCTTTGCTTTCAACAAAATTAAAGGAGAATTATAATGACTTGTTATGTATCACTAAATACAGTTGCTTTTTAATAATGATGTGATTATTATCAGACAACTCAAAGAATTCAAGGAACTGAGTGACAGTGCTGTTATGTAACAGAGCTTTGTCCCATCCATTTATGTGAACAAGTTTTCTCTGTGCTTAAGTTTTGTGTTTTTATTAAAGGAAAGAAAAATAGGTACAAAATTGTTGCTGAACCTTGTCTTATTTTAACAACAACAACAACAACAAAGCTACTCATCCACACACGAACTAATTGAGAAGAAAGTGATGCATTTCCAATAAAATTTTAGTTTCTATAAAAATTTAATATATATTTATTTTGAACAATTCTCTACTAGTAAGTGTAACCCTTGCCTTAGTAATATTATAAAAATTAATCTTAAAATTTCAATGTACAGTATATATTTTCAATTTACATACCTGTTGCAAATAAATATGAGATTATGAATAATAAACTTTAAAGCAGGATAATAAATTATATGTAGCATAAATTGAGGAGAAGAGAATAAAATTATGAGAAAAAAATAAATGATGTTAAAGAAGTGTTTGTTCTAGTGTTTTTAAAATGAATGGTGTTGGCTCTCAAACCACTATGCTCTTTGGATCAAAATGGATCCATGGCAATAAAACAGTTTAAAAAGTGTCAATATATTCAACACACTGGAAATGACATCCTTTACAGCTATTTAAACTTAATAATGAAATACTTCATATGTCAACTTAAAAATGTGCAAAGAGGCAAATACATTTTCAAATTCTTTTAGGGAATAATTCTTTTAGGGAGCAAAGAGGACTGAAGACCAGCGACCAGGTACTTTTTGGACAACAGTCCATTTCAGTGGGGTAGTTAATTGTGCATATTCTCAAGCCAAACCATTTGGGTTGAAATAACATCCTTTTTTCCCCTCTATTGTGGGCAAGATTCCATTATTATTATTATTATTATTATTATTGTATAACTTATACATAGAAGTGCACATATTCTCACAACACACGCATGTAACCGGCACCTAGACCAGGAAACAGGTACCGAAAGTTGTGCTTGTGTAAGTTTTCTGTCTATCTCCGCTTTTGATCCCACTTCTCTAAAATGGGGAGAAACAGTGACCCCTCAGGGAGAGGATTAGATAAACTAATACCTGAGGCAGTGCTGGGGTGACTGTTATGAAAGTGTTGGCTGTTATCATGACTCCCAATGGCCACCAAGCCAGTACCTCTCACTCCCCTTCACCCCAGCCTGGCTAAAAGCTCCACGGTTCCAGGGCTTCTGGGTCCAGCAGGGCCACCTGCAAGACCCCAACACATAGTTCTTGGTGAGAGGGGCTTGGAGAAGACAGCTGAGATGTTGGCGTCATGGTAGAGTCAAGGGCAGAATCACCCTCAGGTAAGTGACACACCCAGCCCAAGGTGAAATGTGCAGACTTTATTAGCCATGATACACTCCACCGTCCGCTAGAGTCCAAAGGTCATCACAAAACCACAAGGGACTGAGCCACCGAGGGCTGGAGCCCTGTGCCCTGATGTGTCCACTACAGAGGACACCTGCGTCTCCAGCCAGGACACAGGCTCTCACGGGGAGTCTGACCAATTTTGGGTGCTGGGCGGAAAGGCAGTGGATAGTTCTGAGCCAGGAGGGGATTTCACTGGGCCCAGAGCAAGGCCCTCACACAGAAGATCAGAAACTTGTCTTTTCCTCACTGACCCCGCTCCCTGTCAGCTAACTGCACACACAAGGTGCTGGCCTGTCCTTCAGGCTTGCTATCTAAACAGAGGCCCGGAGGCTGGGACACATCCTGAGCCTCCTCGCTTCTGCCACCTTGGGTTAGCAGTTTGTAGCTACTCAGAGAGCATGGTTTTCAGAGGTCCGCCTCGGCAGCGCTCCGCCTCCCCCAAATCCTTCACTCTCACCTCACCCACCTGCGATCCCCTTCCAGTGTCTTTTGTCTTGGGGTTCAGTGGCTCCAACTCCCTGCAAATCCAGGATCTGAGCCATGTCTGGGGAACTCCAGCTGCTTGGGGACAGCGCCGAGGTATTCCGGGAGGGAGGAGAAGCGGGGACCACAGACGAGTCCCTGTACCTCCAGGGGATGCAGAGGTGAGGCCGGGGATGACAGAGGCCCCTCGGGACGCTCCAGTTCAGAGGACAGTGTCAGAGTTTTGTCCACGGCCATGGCCAGCTGAGGCATCCCGGAGGGGGAGTTCCTGTGCTTCGGCTCACGTTGGTCCAAGTCACCACAGCTTGGGGCCTGAGAAGGGCGAGAGAGAAGGGGTGGGGGGAGGAATGCAGCAGCCTCCAGGCAAGCCCCTGGGGAACACCTCCCCTGCTCACCTGTGCAGGGGGCAGGCCACCCTGGGGCAGCCTCGTTCCTGGACTCTGGGTCGCTGAGGCCACAGGAAACAAGGCCAGGTCGTTAGCGGAAGCTCCCAGAAGGTAGCCGGCGTGGCCCTGGGGCAGGGGCTGCTGAAGGAGCTGCAGGATGCGGCTGAGGTCTGAGGACAGGCGGGATTCCAGCCTGCCAAACAGGACAGAACGCCACAGTCAGGGTCAAGATCAGGGCCAGGGTTGGGGTTAGGGTGGGCAGTTCAGGGCCTGAGAACAGCTCCCAATTTGGTAGCCTACATGCAGTTCCTGCTGCTTGGGAGGGCAGCCTGGGGCCTATTGAAGCTATTTCCTTGCTACAGTCCAGAGCCCCTGCCCAAATTCCCCTAGCACATCCCTGACCTTGAAAATAAGTGACCAGGTGCCGTATGCATGTCATTCGGTCTTCATCAAGAAGCTCTGTCTGATATGGGTATTCTGAAAGGGCAAACTGAGGCACAGAGTGATTAAGTAACTTGCCCACACTCTTGCTGGTAAGAGGCAGAGTCAGCATTGGAACCCAGGATTGTACTGCCCCTAAGCCCTAATTCTGCCACCACAACTTGGTTATCCACAGGCCACACCCCTTTCCCAAGGGCCCTTGAAGTTGGTTTCTCTGCACGAAGTTATGCCCCTCCCTCAAGAAATCTTCCTTGAGGGACTGAGCTGCCCCCGAGGAGGATTCAGCAACCTCCACCTTGAGCCTCCCCATGCCCTTCTCCCGCTGCAGCCTTCTGCAGGCCGTTTCCCCCGAGGAAACATATGTCCGCTATCCAGAATCTCCACTCTTTCAGCCCCCTTGCTGACGCAGGTAAGGGTGATGATCTGCTTCCCGCTGGCACTGAGGGTCATATCCATATAAGAATTCAACAGAGAAACGGCAGGAAGACCCTTACTACCGTCCAAGGGATCGCTGATGACTACGATCAAAATAAACTAGTGAAGGCCTTTAGGAAAAAATTTGCCGGCAATGGTACTGTCATTGAGCATCCAGAATATGGAGAAGCGATTCAGCTGCAATATGACCAGCGCCAGAACATATGCCAGTTCCTCGTCGAGACCGCACTGGCTAAGGACCACCAGCTGAAGGTTCCTGGGTTGTAAGTGCTTTGGGCTCACTGAAGCTTAAGTGAGGATTTCTTTGCAATGAGTGGAATTTCCCTTCTGTCCCTTGTCACAAGTTTAAAAACCTCACAGCTTGTATGATGTAACCATCTGGGGCCTGCTTTTAGCTTGGACTAGTGTGATTCCTTCGTGCAATAAACTGAAAAGAGCCATGCTGTCTGGTCTTGAAGTCCCTCATTTAAACAGAGCTCAAGCAGTGGGCGCCGGGCAGTGTCCAGCCTGAAAAAGCAATACCGTGAGGTTTCAGCCAAGCCCATGTCTGGCCAAAGCTCCTCGCCAGAGTTCCCTGCCCTCAGAGAATGTCACCCACCGCCTGAGCAGCCTTGGGTGAAGCTGAGAGGAGAGGGGTCAGGCAGCAGCGCCCTGTGTACCACTAGGGGGAGCCCTCTGCAGTCAAAGATCTACACCTGATGGATCTCAGAGCAGCCTGCCACCTTCACTCCAGGGAGGTGTAAGGACTTCCGGCTTGCCACCAACGTCTTTTTGACGTGACATATCCTAGCTAATTGTTGTCCAAACTCCATAATTTGAGGCCATCTTCTATCCAAGTTAAACTTAACACAAGGGAACAAATTTCAAACTGAAGTGTCAGTCATGTATAATAGCTAGCTGTAGAGACCAGCCGTTTCCCAATGCCATGTGAAGTAAAAGAAAAAAGATTTTTGGGGTGTTTTTCCCCCATCCTTTAGTTTTAATGTTATTTTATGTATTTAAACCCTTATTTAAATAAAACTTGTTTTCAGAAACGAAAAGAAAGATCTAGACTCTCTAGGATTTGCATCCTAATTTTTTCTTCATTATATACAACCAGAGGACGAGCTTCCTTGACGTGTTCCGTGGTTTGCTGGGACAAGCCATCTAAGGAATTGTGCGGACAGGCCTGCTGTTCAATGGGGCTGGCCATTCTGAAACTTACAGGACATCCAGTGAGGTTCCTGACCCACCAGGAGGGGGCACCCGTGCCTCTCCTGCTGCTGGGCTTACTCCCTGCAGCCCCCAGAACCTGGCCTGCAAGGCACTCACCTGTTCACCTGGGCCTGGAGCTGCTCTAGCCTGGGGCCCAGCTCCCGAGACCAGCCGTCTGGGTCTCCCTGAGGGTCCGAAAGGCTGTGCCTTGGCCTTTGGGGCACTTGCTGTAGCAGCTCAGGCCAGAGGCCAGATGCATCCGAGAGGCTCAGGGAAGGGGCTGCACCTGCGGGAGCCGAAGGAAAGCCTGAACTTGGCTTAGCTGGTTCCACACACCTGAGCCCGTGCCCCTCCCCCCCACCTGCCATGGGAACGCGGGGCGGGAGGGGTGGCTCTTCCCACCTGCACGCCCAGGAGTATGAAGTCCTGTCTCCATAGAAGTCTGGTATCCATGACCCATAAGGCTGTAGCCCCAGGAGGAGGCATAGGGCTCCTGCTTTGGGGGCTGGCTGGGTGGGGCACTGAGGCCTGGCCTTACTCTCTAGGAAGCTAAAGCCTAGTGGTTTCCCTGTAGCCTTGCTGTGGAACCCCAGAGGCTTGGCCCATATTCCCCTTCTTGTGACAGCACTGGGCACCCCACTAGCCCTCACCCAGGCTCTGAGGCCATGGGGAGGACGGGGAAAGGCCCCCAGCGCCGAGCCTAGGGAGGGAGCCCGCTCCACTCATCCAGGGGTCGGGGGAGGGGAACCCTCTCCTAGGGGAAGCAGGATGAAAGGACTGCGAGGGCACAGGAGGCTGGCGGGGCTCTGGGCTGGGGGCGGCAGACACCGGAGGAGGCTGGCTTTGCCCACCTGACTGGTTGTCACTGAGGAAGAAGCCTTGGTGGTCCTGGTTGCCCGGAGCCTGTTGGGGTGATGACCGGAGACCCCCGTCTGCCTTGTGGGGAACAAGAGCATCAAGTAACGGGGACCGAAGCTGGGCAGGGCCTCTTGGTTCTCCCTTGCCCCCCCCCCCCCCCTCCAATGCCCCCTGTGGCCCCTGTGAGAAAGGGGTGACAGGTGGCTGGGCTCTCCCATAATGCTCCTGACAGCTTTCTGCAGGTGCCTCCTGCCTGGTGGGCAGTGGGTGAACAGGGGCGTGGAGGCCTGCAGACCCCCAGCGTCTTGGGAAAGGCTACTCGGAGCATCCTGATTGTTTGCGGGGGATTGTGGAGGGGGCAGGGGAGCTGTTCTTCCAGTCCTCCCTTTCCATGCTCCCACCCTCAGCATGGCCAATGGGGGTCTCCTTGGAGGAGACTGGGCGTGGAACCCCCAGTCCAGCAGGTGCCCTTCTGGTACCTCCACTTAGGGCCACCCTACGGGGCTGCAGTTGTGCATGGAGACCACATCACTGTTGCCCTGGTATCCAGCCACTGAGCACTCAGTCCAGCTTTTGGCTCCTAGTGGCTGGGGGGCCCATGGCAGGGCCCTTACAAGGAATCTCTGACAGATCAGACGGGAAGAGGAAAGCCTGGGAGAGGGGAACAGCAGAGGACTCTGGGTGGGGCGGGCTGTGCCTAGTAAGAAAACCTGTCTCCGCACTGTACCCTCCATCCTGGGCCAGCAGAGCCCTCCTCCTGAGGCTGGGTGTTAGGTTGGGGGAAAGGGGCTCAGAGCTGGGGCCTCAGCCACTGTTGCCCCTATCGAGCATGCCTGCCACCTCCTTCCCACTGGCTGATTCCAGACCCCGGCCTCGATGCAGCCTCATCAGGCCCTCCCACTCCGTGGCAACCCTGGGCTCCACGGAAATGTGTTCTCCCTGCACACCTGTGTGACTTCCTTGGTTATCGAACCACGCGGCTCTCTGTTTCCCTGGCTTGTTTAATCTCCTCTGCTCAGTGATAAGCTTGAGAGGAGAGACAGCTCTCTCACTGTCTACACCCCCGGACCTGGCACCAGGAGCCCCTGGGCAGCACACACCCTCCCTTTCAGCTTAGAACAATGGTTGGGCAAAGCCTGGGCTCAGGAGTGGCACAAACCTGACTCCACAGTTTGGCTCTGCCATTGACTGTATGTATGGCTTACTGAGGGGCTGAATGGCTTTGGGCAATGTGTCCTCTCTGGCCCTCAGCTTCCCCATCCGGGAAATGGGGATAATAATGGCATTTGCAAGAAAAAGGATTAAATGAGATCATGTAAAAGAAGCCCAACGCCTCGCACATACCGTGTTTCCCCGAAAATAAGACATCCTCCGAAAATAAGACCTAGCACATGGAAAGATAAGACATCCCCTGAAAATAAGACCTAGCGCAACTTTGGGAGAAAAAAATAATATAAGACACTGTCTTATTTTTGGGGAAACAGGATAGTAGGTGCTCAATCATTGGGAGCTATCATCACATTTAGCATTGTGCAGGCCATAGTGGACACAGAAGAAACTATGGTAAAGAACACAGCGTGGGCTGAAAGAAAAAGATGGATCCCCCAGGCCAAGCAGGCCAAGCTCTCAGCAGGCTGCCTGGGCATTCTCTGTGACCAGCTGGCCAAGGGCTGCCTGCACCCTGGCCCACCCAGCCCAGACTCACGTCCCGGAGGTTGAAGGTGACTTCCAGCTTGCTCCAGAAGCTGTCCGCGAAGGCAGGGTACATGTCCAGCACCTCCAGCAGGTCTGCGCGCTGGATCTTGTGCAGGTCGCAGTAGGTGAGGGCTCGCACGTCGGCGCTGGATTTGCCTGGCTGGGCGTGGAGGTTAACAGGCTCCCCAAAGATGTCATTCTTTCCTGTCAGCCGGAGGGGCGGGGGTTCCTCTAGGATCTGGTTCCAAGCTCTCTTTTAAGGCTCTTTCCTGAGGGCCCCTTGTCCAGGACCTCTCTCTCACCCCAGGGATTCCGCCGGGGGTGGGGGGCGGGGTCTGGTGCTCAGGATCAAGCTCTGGGGACGAAGCTGGATGTCCTGGCCGGGGATGAGGAGTGTGCCCTTACCTTGTCCTTTGAGCTCTGCAGAGGAACCCCTCCCCCCTTTCCAGAATGTGGGTGCTTCAGCTGTCTCTGGACCCTTCGGGCCACCCTCTGTCAGAATCCCCCATCCTAGTTCCACATGCTTTGGGGCTCAGTGGGCAGTATCCCCCTGGGGGTCAGTGGGCAGTAAAGGACACCAACGGCTCCCTGATCAACCTCCTCCCCTCTCCGTAGCCTGCTGCAGTGATGTTGGGGTGCGAGGAATCCACAGTCAGGAGCCCCCTAGCACAGGGCCCGGACGCTTCTGACTCTGTGTTCCCACTCACCATTGTGGGGCCCGGTAACCAGCATGACACTGGCAGAGGAAGCCTGGAAAGTCACTTCCCCTCTTTGGACCCCAGTGTCCTCATCTCTAAAACGGGCATAACTGTATCTCCCTTGTCTACCCCACTGGGCTGTCCAGAGGAGCAGATGTGATGCTTGAGAAAGTACCTTGAATAATGAAAGGCTCCAGGCATGTGATTTCAAGGCGTTGGTATTAACAGATGTGGACATGGGCTGACATTGGGGCATGTGATGATGGTATTGGGCCCTCCTAGAGCCAGGTACATGCTGGCCACAGGATGTAAACATGAAGAAGATGCTGTCCCCCCGCTAAAATCCCTGTGAGACAGGCCCATAAGCAGGCAGCTAGTTTACAGAATGATCTTTGACCTGAGAACAGGGAAGAACCATAGAAGAGGGAGGGGCTCATTCTACTAGGAGTGGTTGGGGAGCAGGGAGGAGGGGGGCGGACAGAGGAACCGAAGTGGGGGCTGGGTGGTGAGAATTGACGAGGATTGAGCTCCAAGGAGAAAGGCAATCTGGTAGAAAAACACTGTGTGGTCAGTGCTACGGTCAGGGCTGGGGGGCAGAGAGCCAAGGGCGGCGTGCTGATTGCTTTGATGTCCGAGTTCCCGGCAGGAAAGTTCAGCCCCCTCAGTCTGGTCATGCTGTAACAAGGGTCACAGACAATGATGGATGGAGGCCAGGACATGTCCCCCAAGAGAATAAGATCAAAGATCATCCACAAAAGAGGGGACTGAGTCCTAACAATGGAAGGAATTTGCCAGGATTACATATGAAACCCAGGATCTTGAAATCTGGGCAACATTATCAAGCGATGGTTTTCTAGCAGATGAAGGATTATGATCTCAAGTCCATTTCCACTCAGGACAAAATGGGATTTCATGTCTCTGACTGAAACTTAAATTGGACTGGCTTCTTAATTATTAATAATAATTATTATCCCTGACACACGAAGGGTACTTCTAAAATAGGCTGGCAGTGAGGGGAGGTCTCAGAGAGGAGCCTTGCTTACGCTCAGCCTTAAAGAGTGAGCAGAGTCTGCCAGGCGGGGGTGCCAAGAGGAGGTGCAGCCCTTGCAAAGGCAGGGCTGTGTGACAGACAGGCAGGCTTAGAGAGTGACACGTAGCTTGCATGGCTGGAACCAGAAGTACCCGGGGGAGGGTGGCAGGACGTAGGG